CCACATCTGACCTCGGGGCTGAATTTTGAGTTGCAATCTCGTAATACTGTATAAGTAGAGACGACACTGTTGGACACTCTGTTTTCGATGGCAAACCGACTGACCTACTCGGACCTTGGAGACGTGCTGCAACGGTCGAGCCACTGCACGGTGGAGGTCGTCGCATGTTACCCGGGACGTCCCGCAGTTCTCTTTCTGTTGGACGACGAATACGCTGCTGTGAGAAGGCCTCCAGGCATCGCATTTGCAGTTCTCTAGACTCGAGTGCTCTAATATGAACCCGTCCGACGAGCACCATGCTGCGCTAAGACATGTTGTCCGGGGTCACGTGATACAGCCTGGAACTTTGAACTCTGATCTGAACTTTGAACTTTGACGACAGTGATCGCTACCCAGAGATGAGATGCATGCAGACCGCAGCAATGAATTTTGTCCACCAGGATACTGAAGTAGAACTTCGCAGGTCAAACCCGGTACGCCTCGTCCGAGTCCAAGGAGCCACCCTACCCTTCTTTATGGGGGCAACGGCGTGCCTCAGCATACAGCCCGTCGGCGTGGAGGTGTAGTTCCTTCGCGAGTCGACGGTAAGGCTGCGGCAAGCCCTCTCTGGGTAGCCTTTGTAAATCATCATCGCGCCATGGCTCAATCGTGACCGGCCGTCCACGATCTTGGTGGCAAGCTCATGAGGGTACCTGGAGAGTGCGGATGGTGCTCTCCCTAGCTAAGTACGAACCGTCAGTGAGGCTTCGGCTAAATGCCATGCGTTGAAATTCATGGCGAATGGCAAGCTTAATACTTCAATCGGCAGCTTGGTCGGTATTCTGCGTGCAATACTGCGCCGGGATTTAAAGGATTGATGAAGGGCAAATTCGGACGGCGCTTTGTTCAGAATGTGACGGTATCGGACAGATCGCAATGTCTTGATGCAGGAGGATACGAACAACGAGTGTTGGTGGTAGATGCTGTCGTGGCTGGTCAATAACTTGCTGTTCAACGTTGCTTCTTCGCAGGCTGAGAGTGAAGTACGGTGCGGGCGCGCGACGGGAGAAGGTGAGAGAATAGACTGGACAGAGAGGGTCTGGGGCGTCGGTCCTAGACCCTTCCGTGGCCGTCTCTACCTAATTCTCATGTGAGGCAGGTTCCGGCACCTCGACACACTGCAGCGGCTTCTACGATGGAAAATGCGACCAAGCTGACTCCAGGACCTCCCCCAGAATGATCCATTGTCGGCGCTCAGACGAGGCTGTCCGCGTTGCAGGCAAACGTGGACAGGGGTGTCCGGTGCGATGGTGTGGAGAATCGCGGGGTGAAAGTTGATGGTGTGAAGCAAAGAAGCGGGTGGTGGGCTGAGTGGCAGGGGGCACGGATCCTTGTCTGCACCCCTGTACCACCCCTGTCTTACCCCTTGTCCTGGGCAATGAGCAACAAATCGCGTCCAGAAACGGCTGCAATCCTTCTTCGCCTCCTGCCGCAGCGGGGCAACTTTCCGCCGCACGTCTTGCGAGCTTCACACCACGCGTCCTGCAAGCCTCCATGCTTCACACCACACATCCTGCGAGCTTCACACCACTCATCCTGCGGCCGCTTTGGCTTCACACCACTCGTCCTGTAAGCCTGCATGCTTCACACCACTCGCCCTGCAAGCCTGCATGCTTCACATCACTCGCCCTGCGAGATTCACACCACACCTCCTGCGAGCTTCACACCACTCTTCCTGCAAGCCTTCATGCTTCACACCAGTCGTCCTGCAAGCCTTCATGCTTCACACCACACATCCTGCGAGCCTCACACCACACGTCCTGCAAGCCTGCATTCTTCACACCACACGGCCTGGGAGCTTCACACCACACATCCTGCAAGCCTGCAGGCTTCACACCACATGTCCTGTCAGCCGATTTTGCTTCACACCACTCGTACTACAAGCCAACATGCTTCACACCACGCGTCCTGCGAGCTTCACACCACAGTTCCTTCAACCGACTTGCTTCACACCACACATTCTGCAAGCCTTCGAGCTTCACACCACACGTCCTGCACGCTTCACACCACACGTCCTGGAAGCCGCTTCGGCTTCACACCCCTCGTCCTGCAAGCCCACAAGACTCACACCTCTTGTCCTGCGAGCTTCACACCACACATCCTGCAAGCCTGCTTGCTTCACACCACTCGTCCTGGAAGCCGATTTTGCTTCACACCACTCGTCCTGCGAGCTTCACACCACACGTCCTGAAAGCCTTCATGCTTCACACCACTCGTCCTGCGAGATTCACACCACACATCCTGCAAGCCGATTTTGATTCACACCACTCGTCCTGAAAGCCTGCATGCTTTACACCACTCATGTTGCGAGCTTCACACCACACATTCTGGAAGCCGATTTTGCTTCACACCACTTCTCCTGCAAGCCTAGAAGCTTCACACCACTAATTCTGCGAGTTTCACACCACACATTCTGGAAGCCGATTTTGCTTCACACCACGCTTCCTGCAAGCCCACAAGCTTCACACCACTCGTACTGTGAGCTTCACACCACACATCCTGCAAGCCTGCATGCTTCACAACACTCATCCTGCGAGATTCACACCACACATTCTGGAAGCCGATTTGGCTGCACACCACACGTCTTGCAATCCGACTTTGCCCCACACCACCCAGGCTGTAAGGGCTGTGTGACAGACAGAGGGATCCAGAAATCGCTCCGGTTCTCGTGTTCGCTGCCCAGTTCCCGAAACTCTCTGCAAGCTTCATCCCACTCAGTTCGAATCACAGAGTTACTACTGTACTGTACTGATGGTGATGTGATGTG